CTGCGGAAGAAACCCTGAATACCTGCCGCGCCGTGGCTGTGGCCATGAGAGTGGTCGTTGCTTCCCAGGTGGTTCTTACCCTCCTTTACAGACTCGGAAGACAGGATAACGTTCAGGTCTTTGCCATGGTAGTTGTGCGCCCACTTCTTGACGACTTCGAACATGTTGACGTGGACTTCGCAACGTGAGTCGCGAAGACTGGGGTGGTGGAATACACGCATGCAGTCATTTAGGACCTGGTCGACTGGGACGTCAGGGTGGTCCCATGCGTAGATGACACGAGGTGCGACGAACTGCAAGATAGCCACAGCGACTTGGCCAGCAGGCTGGTTCAGGATGTTGGAAAAGTGGTCCTTGGATAGCATGCTATGTGTAGGATTGGTGGAGTATGGATCCGTCCAGACTTCAAACTGATGCTTTGCAGCGGAGTCAATGACAGCCGAAGACCCGCTCTTGAGCTGGTTGGATGCAGACTTGATGATTGGCAGAATAAAGGGTGCGAGCAGAGACATGACGAAGAGCGTGACACGCTCGGTAACGGTCTCGATGAGCTTCTCTAGACCGGGTATCTTCGAAATGATGGCCGAGATGCTGCGCACGACATTGTCTCTGAACACTAGAATTGGGTAGATCTTAGGGATGATGGTAGCAGGATCCGTATTTGTACCTGGGATATCAGGGCCTGGCGGTCCACCCACAGAGCCTGGTGGCGCGGCAAAGTTATCTTGCTGGTAACCATCATGATCTCCCGCACGAGATCCAAAGCTTTCGTAGCCTCCACCTCCAGAGCGCGCATTAGCGGCAGCTTGGGCATCGGATTGTGCTTGCAGGTTCTGCGCTTGGCTGATGAGATTACCAGTACCGGGGATCTTGCTGAGAGCATCAATCAAGCCACTGCAGGCATCAGACTGACCTCCCGGACCTCTCTTGCCACTTGTATTGTTCTGTACCGCATCGATCAGAGCAGTGTTTACCTCATCGATTTCAGTCTGCGTGATGTGGTCGTTTGCTTCTCCTAGTACGGAATGAAAGAAGTCTACACCTCCAAAGGTACCTGTTACAAGAGGGAAGGTGTGTTGGCCATGGAGGTTAATGCCAGCATGAGCACCAACGTGGGGGAATACGTTCGTGTAGCCCAGCTCACGCAGCACTAGCTCTACGTAATTGGTATGCGCTCCAAAGTCCTCGAGGCAGTGAAGGCCTTGCCCAAGACAGCGAAGCGCTTCTGATAAATCTTCCTCTCTGCCTCGTTGATCAGATGGGCCATGGGTGTAGAGGCGGCCAAAATGAATGGCGCGTGCGAAAGAGAACTTGACATAACCTGCTGAGGTCGCCCAACCGCCTTGCTCATTGGCAATATAATTCTTCATGCCTGGGGAATGTCAATATGGCCATGCATGTTACAACGATTTTATACCCATATACCTGTTTGTGGATCCACTGCCAACTCGGCGTCTGAAACGGGGCCACGAAGACGTGGATCATACTTGCGTGCATCCTCACCGTCGGCGTAGTCTTTCTACAAAATTGTTAGTATCAATGTCCTTTTCCCATGGATCAGGACTACTCTACAGGATTATCTACGACTATGTTAGTTTGGCTACTTCCAAAAGGACAAGGACTTACCGATGTGCTCTTCAGGTCGGTACACTCCCAATCTCTCAGCAGTGACCTCAAACTCTCCAGTGGCGTAGCCAAAGGACATGAACGATAGGACCCAAACAAGAACACGAATTGTCTCGCCCTGGATTTTTTCAGCGATTTCAACCTATTCAACTCTTGTCATGATAATCTACCTGAACTTTTGCCAAGGTACCGACGTCCACAGCCTATGAAGTTTAGTTTACAGTAGTGTTGTAGTGGAAACCTTCTGCCATACCTGGGAGTAGTCCCGCAACCAGTTACCAAAGTAGACTCGCTGCACCGCTGATCAGTCTCGGATAAGCGACTCAGTCCTCGATCATATCAGCGCACCTTGATCATGTTTGACTTCCACTTGTGTCCCTTCAAGCAGGCAACCGTTGCAAGCATATCCTCGATATCGCCATGGCGCCAGTTCTGCCCTTCGATCTTGGAGATGGAAGCGATGTTTCCTGCGCCAAAAGCGTCGGCTCCTGCGGGTAACAATACCAGGAGCGCAATGGCAACAAGCAGGAAGTGTGTAGAAGTGAGGCCCATGACTGCAGTGTCAGACGAAGTATCGTGAGGGAGAGAGTGTAAAGTCGAAGAAGAATCAAGTAGGGCTTTGCAACAGACTATTTGCGCACCACAGTCAGCTGTTGAAGGTCCTGCACCGCCCGACTTATGACGTGTGGCGTTTTCCTGGGAAGGAGGGGCTGGTGGTCCCACAAAAGCGACCTAACAACCACAGAACGATTTCATGATGCCGAAATACCGAAATAGCATCTACCGGTAGATACAATACGGCCACAGCGGCTTCGCAGATCATTGAAGTGCCCGACACTGTCCCTCCAGTGAGGCTTTGCTGTCTCCTGTACCGATCGCTTGCGCCACATTCACTTACCCCACTTTTGAGCGCAGGCGAGCTGGAGGGGTGCAAGGTTGCGGCTGAGGAGTCCTCCAGGCGACAGTGCTTGCTTATACTTTGACAATAGAGTTGGGCTTATGTGATTCGCAGGCGACAAAATGTCCCTGACGTTACCTATGTGTTGTATATTGCTGCTGCTGCTGCTGCTGCTGCTGCTGCCTGGCGCCTGACGATGACGAGCGAGTGCCTTGGAAATGCATTTGGGCTCAAAGCACGTACGATACCCACAGGCGGTTGCCTCCCCATTCTGACACTCTATTCACAAATCCTTATCCACCAGACTGACTGTCCATCGTTTCAACGTGCTATTATTGTTCAGACAGTGAGTGGGCATGGGGACGACAATTCCGGATTCTCTCGTCATCGAAACACTTCAGTCCCAGGAAGTGACGGCGTGCGAACTTGAAGACTCTCATTTCCAACTCCCCATTCGGAGCTCGCATGGCAAAATGTATCCAGTGATCTTCGAGGAAGAGATCCTGAGGTCTAAAGGAAGTACGGTCCGTGCGGACGTGGACAACAATGACTTGACAGGCTCATGGGAGAAGATTAATATATCCTTCCATCACCAACCTCACCATTTTAGTGAAGGAGAGAGTATACCAAGTAAAAGAGCCTCATGGCCTCTTATGGAGGACCACGACAAGTTCTACGACAACATCATCGCGGGAGATTTTGCGGCCATCGAAGCAGCACTAGATGTCCACACCAACCTTGAGCGTGAGAATGACGATGGCATTACACCGTTGGTTCTTTCAATAATACACTCACAGTTTGATATCATCCGCCTGCTCCTCGAGAAGGGTGCCGAAGTTGACCATCCAGTTGACGGAGTACCACCAATCGTGCACGCCGTAGAGAACGCCAACAAAGGGCCGCGAGTCATGCAACTGCTCATGGATCATGGCGCTGATCCACGGATAGTTTCAGGGCGGGACAATTTGAATGCTCTGCATTGGGCCACCGTATTCGACACGGTTGATGCTGTAAACTTCTTGGCCGGTATCGGCCTAGACTTGAACAGCATTTGTTCGATGGGAAGAACACCGCTGACATTGGCTGCTGAGAGGGGACACACTACTATTGTGAAGTTGCTCTTAGCCAAGGGTGCCGAGCTTGCAAAGCAGAGTTATAACGGTGGCACAGCCTTGACCTGGGCGGCTAATTATGGTCATCTGGATACCGTCAAGTATCTGCTGGAAGAGGGTCTGGATGTCAACCACTTGGACAGCGCAGGTCTTAGTGAGTCCACATGGTCCCTTAACATTACTTTTACTGTCAATAACACTACCAGCCGCACTTTGGGTTGCAAGCAACGCCGGTCACGTCCAAACCGTAGAGTTCCTCATCTCCAAGGGCGCAGACATCAACTGTGTGAGCATTGATCCAAAGGGCATCACACCTGTCTCTACATCAGCTCGTTCAGGTCGCACTGATGTAGTTCGTGCTCTGCTTCGGAATGGTGCCGATCTTGAACTTCCTGACCATGCTGGAATCAGAACGCTGGAAGCAACAATGACGGCCGGCCATATGGACACGGTCAAAGTCCTATTGGAAGATCTTGGAAGCCCCGGATATCCAAAAGACAGCCTAGCATTGCAGATAGCAATGGCAGATACACGCAATTGTGCGGTGTCGCTGATGGCTGCATGCTCTCTCGTGTTCCCACATGTTCAACCACGACCCAAGGAGCAGGGGGATGTTGCCTGGATAGATTGGGTGTTGCAGCTAGGTGGGAATTTGGTGAGACCAAAGGCCATATCCATCATGTTGCACGTAGCACTCACAAGTCAGGATGGGAAAGTAGTAGAAGAGCTGCTTCGCCTAGGTGCTGATCCAAACATGTTCCTACCTGGGAGACGTGGTCAAACGCCACTAGCAATCGCTATCGGGCTATGTGACATCGATCTCGTTGGCAAACTACTCATGCATGGGGCCGATCCTGTTGGTCGTGTAGACCGATACGCTGAAGATGACGAAACTGCATTGCAACAAGCTGTTGTTGTGATGGGGGACGGCAAAGACATTCACGACAAGGCAGCGATAGTCAATCTCCTGCTAACCGACAAACGTTGCAAAGTTAATCAAGGAGAGAGCACCCGCTACACCGCGTTTTCAATGACACTCCGTCAAGCCGGTGACTGGGAAGATGGAATTGTAAAGGACTTGGCACTTCGCATGGCCGATGTCAGTTCGGATGTCAATAGCGAAAGAACAAGCACTGGCTCTACACTGATGCATGTCGCTGTCAATCGCAAGTGTCGAGGCATGATCGATGTCCTCTTAGCGAAGGGTGCAGATATCAATGCGAAGGATGACATGGGACTGACTCCGTTTCTTTGCATCTGCTTCAGCTCTACGACGATGCTTCCCTTCCTTGTGGAGCGAGGTGCAGACCCGTCTGCAAAAGACGAGCAAGGTCACTCGGGACTGCATATTGCTTCCATGACTGGCAGAATTGAGAATATGCAATACCTGCTCGACATCGGGCTGAACATTGAAGACACTACTTCAGACGGCCACACTCCCCTCCTCACAGCCCTCACCTCGGATCAAGAAGATGCCGCCCTATGGCTCATAGACCACGGCGCCTCAACAAGCATCACATCCTGCCACGGACAACGAACAATCCTCCACCACGCCGCACGCCGCCACATGAACCGCGTCGTCGCCTCCCTCCTCTCCACCACCCACTCGACCAACCACTCGGCCACCATCAACCTCCGCGACGACATGGGCCAAACCCCCCTCTCACTCGCCTGCTCAACCACCGACTCCCAAGCCCTCGCCCGCTCCCCCCACGCCCTCCACGCCCTCCTCTCCACCCTCCTCTCCCACGGCGCCGACCCCCAATCCCAAGACAATACATCCACCACCCCGCTCCACCACGCCCTCCGCACCGCAAACGACCCCGCAGCCCTCCTGCTCCTCACCTCCACACCCAACCTATCCCTCCCCACCGCAGACGGCACCACACTCTTACACCTCGCCGCAAAACACCGCTGCATCCGCTGCACACGCTTCCTCCTCTCCCACGGCGCAAACATCGACGCCCGCGACGCCAACGGCGCTACACCCCTATCCACTTGTGCCTGTACGCTCAGCGCCGTGCTCCTCCTCGATGCGGGCGCAGATATCGAGCATAGGGATGACAGGGGCTGGACGCCGTTGCGGTCTGCGCTTGAATCGGGCTGTTTGCGCATGTTTGACGTCTTGTTGCAGCGGGGCGCAGATTTGGGGGCGAGGGAGGTGGAGGAGATGGGCGGATTGGATGTCTTGGGGAGGGTGAGGAGGGTGGGGTGGGAGGATGGGCGGAGGATACAGGTGTATTTGGGGGTGTTGGCGGGGGTTAGGGAGGATGCGAGGGTGGAGGGGGCGGGGAGGGGGCGGGGAAAGAGTTTGTTTGGGGTTGGGGAGGTGGTAGGGTAATAGGGGAGGGGGGTTGGTTTGAGTGTTGTTTGAGGCTTGGTTGTTTGGATTCGAGCCTTTTGGAGTTGGAGGAAGGCGTTGGTTGATTTGTTGGGTATGGCAGGATAGGGTAGGGGGGTTTTTTCTGGACGAATGGCGAGGATGGTGGACACATACTATGAGCATACATACGCAATGAAACATGTCATTTCCTCGTGTGAAACTTCCACCTGTCAAATACCAGTTTCGTGAAGTGACGAGTCCTGAATGACGCCTACTCACACCACCAGCATACATTATGAATCATATTCCATCCCAGCCGCATCCTCAGCATGTCGACATCCCAACCAAATCCGACTACTGCTTCCGCACCTTCTCAGCCTCCTTCTGCAAAACCTTGATATCCTGGCCCGTCTCCGCACGATCCGCCTTGACCTACAAACACACACTGTATCAGCAAACCATCCCGCCAGCACATCAAGCCACATATCCGACATCGCCCGCCCTCCATTGGGAGGAAGGCAGGTACATGGCTTTGGGTCAAGGCAAGAAAGGGATACAACGTACAGCCGCTTCACCGTCACTGGCTAGACTCTCCTCCCAGTGGGCTTTCCCTTCCTTTTGCTTCTGCAGCTGTTCGCGCTTCTTCTGCTCGATTTCTTCGGCGCGGCCTTCGTTGTCTGGGGGTGGGATGTGTTAGCTTGGATGTTCTTCCGGGAGGGGGAGGGGTGGTGGTTGATGCTGTGTATGGCGGGCAGCTTCCCATGAGGTGAGGGTTTGGGAATCCGGCAGGGCGATGTTGTGCTATGTAAACAAAGCACACGCCCCTACACATCACCCAACCCATAGGTAACCCGCATCAACACCACACAAGCCCAGATAAAACAGAAAGACCACCTACGCAAAGCCGATTCCTTGCCTACAGCACACACCCTCGACTGTGCAAACCCAGCGCGCTGCATCACCAGCGGGGAGCAGCGACGCGTCGCAAAGGCACGGAGCGCGGACATGTTCGAGACGCGGGGGATGATGAGACGAGGTGAGGTTTCGAAGCGGTCGGTGGTAGAAGATGGGAGTGGGGGGTGAGTTGCGTTGTATGTGTATGTGTGTATGTGTGAGAAAGAGAAGAAGAAGGGGATCGTAGTGTCTATTCTTCTCAACAAGAAAAGTAAGGAAGAAGGTACCGGTAGGGCAAGTATGTTCTAGCAAATCCATTAGCTCAATCTGCAACATGCAAAAATTCCATCCTTTCCATCCCCATCCCCATCCCTCTCCCCGATCAATCCGCACCACGCCCGTACCACCACCAGCACACCAACTCACCCCTGCGTATTGTCCAATTCAGCGTTCTTCTTCACAGAAAAAAAAATTGTTTTTGAGATGCGAAGAACACGAGGAGGAAAAGGAAGCAACCCCCTCCCCCCCCCTTTCCCCCCAAAGCTCCCCTAGCTTCGTCGATGCAGTGCGATGCTGTGCTACGTCATCGAAGCGCGGCGAAGGGGGGGAATGGGCGGACGGCGTTAACGTGATCCACCACCGAGCGCCCACCCCCACCGAGCGCCCACCAACACCAAAATCACCAAATTTTTAACACTAAATTTCTTAATAACTATAGCACCTATTAATAACGCGCTTGTAGTAATTAAATCCTTAACTCTTAGAGAAGATTTTATATACTTAGAAATAGTAGAAAAGTATAGTTACTTATAGTTAACTTTATCTAAATACTACTAGAAAATTTAGTAAGTATATACTACTACTCTACTAAATAGTTAAATACTTAATACTATATAAGAAAATAAGCTTATAAAGTATATTAAAGAGCTTTATAAGTAAGGATTACCCCTTATATAGACTATTATTTAAAATTTTATAACTAAAATAATAGGGAATCTAGTAGGTAAAAATTAGGTATAGTGCTTTATTAACTACTATAATATTAATCTTATCTCCTATTAGGCTACTAGGCTTAATTATAACTACTTTAAAGCTAATTCTACCTTTAAGTATAGCTTATACTTTAAGCTTTTATACTAAAAAATAGAGTAATATAATATTAAGAGTTAGTATATCTATAATATAGATAAGAAGGGTTTTCTTATTAGAGTACTATTAAAAACTAAATATATATTTAATAAGAGCGCCTATAAGTAGAGAAAGATTAAAGCTATACTCTAGGATAGTAATAGGAAGTAGATTACTACTATAGCTTATATATACGCTAATAGTACTACTTTTACTCCTACTCTTATTTATTAGTCCTAATTTATAGCTCTATAGGATACCTAGTTATAAGATTTTAACCTATTATAATACTAAGCTTTCTTTATAGGATTACTAAGTAGGTAGATAAGCTATACCCTAGGGGTATCCTAGCTTAAGGAGGTGTTTAATTATAAGATAAAAGCTAAAGCTTATACTTTATACTAGCTCCTTATCCTTAATAGCTATAGATCTTATATAATAATAGAGTTTATTAAGTACTATAATAAATATAAGATCTTACTTATAATATATCCCCCTTATAGTACTTATACCCTTTAGCTACTTAATATTATAGTATTTGCTCCCTTTATAGCTTTATATAAAGCTTAACTATCTAGTTTTCTAGATAGCTCCTAAGGGCTTATAAGTATTACTAAGAGGGATTTCTACTAGTTATTTAATACTATATAAAGTAATACCTTTAAGGAAAAGCTAATATTAATAGCTTTTAAAGTAATAAATATCTTACTACTTAACCTTAATATTATCCTTTTAAGGTTTAAAGCACCTATAAATAATAGTAACTAGCCTTCTTTAAGTAATAGTATAACCTTAATATTAAGTATAAGTAATTAGAGAAAGATAGAGTAGTTACTTTATAATACTATAATTAATATTTATAATAAATAGTTAAAGAAGCTTAGCTAGATAATCTATACTATATTAGTAAGAAATACTCTACTTAACTATAAAAATAAATACCTAAGGGCTACCTTAGCTAATAAGAAGAAGTGTAGAAAGTATAGTAAACCTCTATTATTACCCCCTAATAATAATTATAGTAGTAGTACCTAATTTATTTTACTATTAAAGGTAGAGCAAGTGTTTAAACTCTAGGAGTAAAAGAACCTTAAAGAATAAGAGCTATAATACTAAAAAAGTAAGGTAATTAAGCTTTATAAGTAATAGAAGCTTACTAAAGCTTAACTTATAAAGGAGTATTACCTAAATTAAGTAATTACTAAGAAAGAGTAAAAGAAGAAAGCTACCTAAAAAGCTACTATATATAATAAGTAGAAAACTACTAAGTAACTAGAAAAGTAACTCTAAAATAATATTAAAATATTCTAAATAAGTAAGAAGTAAATCCTTAAGCCTCCTACTATTATACTAGCTAAAGTAGTTAATAAGGAGCTAGTAGAAGAGGATATAGTAGTAGAGGCAACTTTATAGTATAGGCGCCTAATTAGACCCCCTAAAAAGCTACTTATATAATCTAAAATATTTAATCTACTCTAATAAATCTAATAATTATAACTCTAAGAAATCTTATAATAATAGCTATTATAGGTGGCGCAATATCCTTATTTAGTGGGTGGTGGATTTTAGTGTTAGTGGGCGCTCGGTGGGGGTGGGCGCTCGGTGGTGGATCACGTTAGTGGGTGGGGTGGGGTGGGACCTGCATCATCATTTATCGTCATTGTCATCATCATCGCAAGCGTCATGACTGGGCTTCACGGTGCGTACTGTGCTCTGTGGACTGTGTATGTGTGGTAAATTGGAATTTATAAATATATAAGCACCAGCATGTATACTCTTGCGTGGTACTTGAATCTCGGATTCTTTGGTTGGGTGGTAAACACTAACACCTACAATCAAGCCAACGCCGACATGAACATTTGAACACCAACACCAACACCAAGCATGAACACCAACGCCAACTACCATTACACCCACCCACACAATCCCACCAAAAGAAAAGTTATTTCCCACATCCAACCACTTTTTCCTTAACTAATAATAGTAGCACTGCCCCTGTAACCCCAGATAAATTCCCACCCACCCAGAACCAATTCCAATCCTACTCTTCTCAGCCAACTATCATTACTCTTCTACTCTTCTTAGCCAACTATCACTTAGGAAACAAATCAACCCCCCTTTTTTCTGTCATAACAAGAACCAGACCATAAAACATCACCATGATAGTTTCATGTACGGTAGTACATCGCTCTCCTATAACAGACGTGCAGCTATAAACTACACCCACAAGCCACACCCACTCCCGTACCTTGCATCAAACATCAACCAAGCCCAACAATACGCATAAAACGACCCCAGCATCAAACACTGTGCTACATTCTATTCTATTCCATACAAAGCTTAGGTCAAGCGATTAGACATCTAGGTTTGGGAAGTTGATCAAGTGTCTGGTGGATATCTCCAGTGTTTGTCTCTACTCTTCACTTCTACCTGCCCTCTTCCCCCCTCCCTATTAACCCACCCATCCCCACAATCTCTCTTCTCCCACCGATAATCTCTCCCTCTCGACCAAAACCCTGCAAGACCCTGCATCTACCTACCCAAGACGCACGCCTGCGTTAAACCACCCCCCTAAGGAGACCAGCCCACATACACCAACCCACGTGCGGTAAAAATAAACCCACAGGTGCATTTTCATATTAGCATGTGCTTGTGTTGGTGTGGCGGTTTATTAAGGCGGCTGTGTGTTTTTTTCGCTGCTTATAATGGCTTGGGTGAATGTGAATGAGAATACAAGTACAGATACAGATGTAAAAATGGTACTGGGAAGGGGGAGGGCAGGGAGAGAGAGGAAGAGAGGGTGGCCTTGTCCAAATCTACATTTACTCATCTTTATATACTTACTCATTTTTATACTCTTATCTTTATACACCTACTCACTCTTACCTATATACACCTACTTACCCACACACTCATCCTCCTGCACCCCCAACCCCACGCCCCTTTCCTCCCAAACCAACACCAAATCCCACATTTCACATAAAAGTCCCAATTTCATCTCACAAAAACGTTTCAAAATCTTATCAGTAAGCACCATGGACAATAGGACGAAGTTGTGATTTCGATAACCTGGGGCTATGTGTATGATCCGAAGAAGCAAAAACACACTTCACAAGACGAAGCATGTGCAACTCCTATCCGTGTTAAATTGAAAACCCCCCAGAAAAGGAAAAGAAAAGCAAAAAGAAAAGAAAAAAACACCCACCCATATTCCTTGCTCGCCCCGAATAAAGACGACCAGGAAGAAAGGGCAAAGAACAGGCGGCGAAAAATGGGAAAACAGAAAAAAAAAAAAGACCAAGCTTATCACATTCCAGAAAAGATCAGAGATACAAACGCGCAGCCGTGCTCTCCGTCGGCGAGTGGCTGCGTCGTCTTTGGGTAGGTTTGGAAGATTTCCTCATACAAGGTGGAAGAAAGGAAACAGAGACGAACGAAACATAAGCCGGCGCCAATGACTGCGTAGAATCATCCCAGCGTCGTACAAAAAGAGGTTGTAAGACAAGATGCACCCAGAGAGCGAAGAATTCCGACCATGACACCCGACGCTCCGACAGCCCATCTCGCCTCTGCAAGATTGCTGCGCCCACAAAATGGTATACCGACCGCTTTGAAAACCGAAGAGACCAATCCGCACATAAGAAATCTACCCATTGTAGTGGCGCCAAAAGAGGCAAGCCGGGCAAGAGACAACGTACGAGCTTGAAGACAAGGGAAACGCTACAGAACACCAGAGAGAGAGTCTGTAACCAAATATTTGTCTCGACTCTGTGAACAACACCGTGACTGATGGAACCGAGGGATGCTGACCCAAAACACCGTAATGTGCAAGACCGCCGTAAAATGCGTTACGCGCTCCCAGAGGCAAAAAGACCAAGACGCTCTATCCGGATAAATATGTAATTTCGCAAAGTGGCAACGCCGTCATCGGTCAGTGGTATACCCAGATTTGGAGAAAGATATCGTAGATTTGTACAGTGGAGAGTCGATAGTATAGACGTATGATCCTCCCGAGGATATCAAGAAGGAAGAAGATGAAATCCTGGTAGCCACTAGCCCGACCACGCCGACGACGTCGCCATGCCAGCCGAACAGAACGCTTGGCCTCGGGCCTGCGAGGGCTTACCAGCGTCGCGACATGAACTGTTGCTGCATCTGTCGGTTGGGCGAGACGGATGGTGGTGGGCTGGCAACAGCGCGAGTCGAGGGGTCGACAATGGGAATGGCATTGCGGGTGCGCTGGGCTAGTGGCTGGTGGAGCTTGGTCTGGGTCGCGTTGGTGGGTTGGAATGCCGAGGGCGTGTAGGGGTTCGGGGCGGAAGAGAGGACAAAGGAGGGAGTGGGCTGTAGTTGATGCTGCAGAGGCGACTGTTCGGGCGAGCCGCTCGAGAGGGAGGAGCGGTCTGAGCCAGACGAGTGAATGGACTGCAGCTGTTCATCGAGTGTCAGCGCCGTCTTCTCGCACGTACAACGATGGCGGCGGGTAGCCGACGTCGTGGGCCAAGCGACTTACATCGTCCTCGGTGAGCAAGTGAAAGGGGCAGAACATCTCATCATCCTCGATATCAAACGAGCGTGCGGCCTCGAAGTCCCGCTTGAATGCGATGGTCGTGGGTGGTTCGACGTTGAACTCTTTGGGGGTGCGGACTTGGCGGAACTGCTTGTTGTTTTGTTGGGCCGAGATCCTGGGCGCCCTCCGCGATCGGTGGTGGTTGTGCGAGTGGGCGTTGAGGTGCTGGGAGTGCTGCTGCGCGCCGTAGTTGAAGAATTGCGACATGTTGGCGAGGTGTGCAGTTGGAAGCAGATGAGATGGGAAGTCGTGGGGGAGGGGGGGGGGGTTTATTTTTGTTCTTATGCCTTGCTCTGGCTCTATTCCACCTACAAAGGCATTGTGACTTCCTTCCGGCTGGACAACGATCCCGCTGCCCTGATGGATGGCCCATACGGGTCTTTGTGTGTAGGGCTTGGCCCCCTGCTGCTGCCGATGTGGCGTGGACTACGGTCCCCACCCGGTTTACAGAAGCCGTATTTATCTTGTGTACACTGTCAAGTGG